GTTATCTTTTTGACATCTCTAGTGATACCACCTTTCTTGTTCTTGATATGGGTAGTTTGCGTCTTCTTTCTTTTCAGATCAGTCTGACTATAGGCTTAGCAATTTTAATTCATTGTCTCAAAGAACCAGCTTTTGATTTCATCCTCTTCTCTATTGATTTTCTATTTTCTACTTCGTTGATTTCCATTCTAATCTTTATTAATTTCTTTCTTTTGCTTATGTACAGTTTAATTTTCTGTCATACATTTTAATTCCATGTATGTAATAAACTCCATACTACATTGTTATTATTTTTGTTTAAACAGCAAATTATCTTTTAAAGAGATTTTTTTTTTCCTTTTTGTCTTTTTTCGGGACCGGCAACGGGATCGCAACCCTCGGCGTTGCCCCCGCGCCTCGCTCAGCCAGTGAGCGGGAGCCGGTCTGTACGTGGGATCCGAACCCTCGGGCGGGAGCGCCGCCGCGCTTCCCAAGCGGCGCACTATCCAGTGCGCCACTGGGCCGGCCCTGGATGTTTGATTTCTTTCAGTAGCATTTTACAGCTTTCAGCATACAGCTATTGTTTATGTTCTGTTAGATTTATACCTAAGTATTTCATTTTGGAGGAGTTATTGTTCTAAAATTTCAGTTTCCAGTTGTTCATTGCTTGAATATAGAAATACAATTGTTTTTATGTGTTATCCTCATACACTACAACTTGCTAAATTCACTTATTAGTTATTAGTTCTATGAGATTTTTGTAGATTCCCTGGGATTTTCTATATAGAAAATGATGTCGTGTGAACAGGGGAAGTTTTTATTTTTTCCTTTCCAATCTGTATGCTTATTATTTCTTTTCACTATTGTATTGCACTGGCTAAGACTTCCAGATTGATGAAAATGGACATCCTTGCTTTGTTCTCAATCTTACGGGGAAAGTATTCAATTTCACACACACACATACACACACATTGTGGGTGTGTGTGTATACAAGTATATATGTATGGACACATACACATATAGATATGCATATACTTATATAAATACACACACACACACAAATGAAGGCAAAATAGACATTTTCAGACAAACCTGGGAGAATATATTACCAGCAGACCTACACTACAAGAAATTCTAAAAGAAGTTTTAATATACCATTAAATGCAACAAAAGAGGTAGTTACAGCTAGTTACAGCTTGCTGGGGTTGGGGGCGGGGTTGGGCTGATGACAAGAGAGAATCATAGAGGACATGATATCTCAGGAGATTCTCAAAGAATGATTGAGAATGATCAGGATCTATCCAGGCTTCAGAAAGGAGGGAAGATTGTGCAAGATGGGAGAGAAGTAAGTAGGACATTCCAGACAGAGGGAATGGTATGAACAAAGGAACAGAGGACAAATCTGAACGTCAACCCACAGACAAAGGAACCACTAAAGGTTTTTATCTTTTGGTGCTGGCCACAGGGTTCAAACCCTGGACCTTGGTGTTATCAGCGCCATGCTCTAACCAACTGAGCTAACCAGCCAGTCTTATAGGGTTTTAAATGAAACAATGTATGGTCAAAATTGTGAGCAACTTCTAACTTAAGTGCCAGAGGTATTTTCAAGTGGTGATAGGCATTTATTTATAGCTGGGGGCTGGAATGTGCATGGAAAGAGGCAAAGGTAGGAGGCAGTGGCTAACAAGGAGTAAACCGAATAAAACTTCGAAAGGGACTACAGACCTTTATGAGAATAAAGTATGAACACAGTGTGTGAGTGAGGGAGGACTTATGGTGATAGTGGGATGATGAAGATTAGAATTCATATGTGGAATTTTTGTGGGTTCATATATCCTTAAAGTTTATTCTTTAATTCCAGATTAGGATGCTATAAGTGAAAAACTAATAAATAAAAGCCTACAGTGTAGGGACTTTGTGACAATTCTTTTGGTATAGATTCTATATCTTACCTTCATTTGTGTTTCTAATGGTGTTTGTGCCAAGAAAGGAGGCTGTCCTACCAACATTTCAAAAAGAATAACACCAACACTCCACCAATCACATAACTGTGTGTATCCTAAAATAAGATACCAAAGTTATAGTTATTCATAAGCACTTTTAAAAAAATGCTCATAATTAATATAATCAAAATTAACAAGAAATCACCAATTTGGACTGTAAAATTAATATTTTTATTATAAACCTGAAAAATAAGGCATATTATATTGTAAATTTTGACGGGTCTAAAGGCTTGTTGGGGTTATTTATAAAACAAATAAATGCTTTACCTGTTCGTAGCAACACTTCAGGTGCAATGTAATTGGGAGTCCCAACCAAAGAATGTGCTAGACATCGCTGATGCTGGCGTGCAGCTCTCCGTTCCAGAGGCTTCAGTCTATCTCCACATCGACAGTTTGAAGGATCACCCCATTCATTACTGAAATCCATGCTATCTTGCCGTGGATGGTCACCTGTACAGTAAAAAAATAAAGCAACAAGGACAAGAGTAATCCTAAAGTCTGTTTAAGTTTTTGATATCATGGTTTAGGGTTAACAACATTCTCCCTTGTGACAAACTAAGATACAACATATGCTAAATCACTGATAGTGTTTATTACTGACTAGAGCCTGCTCTCTGGGATATCAATAGGAAAACTTTTATGCTAAGAAATTAATCTAAGATTCAGTAATTTACTCAATTACTTACTCAATGTTAAATAATGATAATACAAGTCATATGTGGGTTGGATTAAGAATTTGTTATTCAGACTGCTCCCCATTACTACTCTGGACAAACTTTCAAATAAATTTGATCAGTGTTTCACTCATTCACAAATGACAATGACAAATAAGAAAGACAAAGTTCTTCTCTCAGGCAGCTTACACCCTAGTGGGGAAGAAACACAACAAACAAATACAGTCAGGTGCCATGTAACAACATTCTAGTCACCACAGAAATGATGGTCCTATAAGATTATAATGGAGCTGAAAATTTCCTATCACCTACTGATATTGTAGCTGTTGTAACATTATAGCACAATTACTTAAAAAAAAAATTTAGTGTAGCCTAAGTGTGCAGTGTTTATAAAGTCTACTGTAGTGTACAGAAATGAGCTAGGCCTTTGTTGTCAGTCACTACTCACTAACTCACTCAGAGCAACTTCCAGTCCTGTAAGCTCCATTCAAAGGTGCCCTATGCAGGTGTATCATTTTCTATCTTTTATACTGTATTTTATATCCTGAATCTATTCACTTCTCTCCAGCTCCACTATAACTATCCTAGTCCAAGCTTACCTGTAATAGCATCTTTTCCCCCTTAAGTAATACACTTTATTTTTTAGTGATTTTAGGTTTACAGAAAGTAGAGACAGTTTCCACATCCACCTCCCCCACAGACACAGTGGATTAGTCCATTTCTGCTGCTTGTAACAAAATACCTGAAACTGGGTGATTTATAAGAAAACAAAATTTACTGCTTACAGTTTCTGAGGCTGGGAAGTCCAAAGTCCAGGGAACACATGTGGTATATAAGAAAACAAAATTTACTGCTTACAGTTTCTGAGGCTGGGAAGTCCAAAGTCCAGGGAACACATGTGGTATGAGCCTTGGTGGTGGCAACAGTGATGGCAGAGTATCACATTACGAAATCGTGGAGCAGAGAGAGCAGAGGAACTAACCTCCTCATTCACTCTCCTTTTAAAGCCCTCCAAACCATGCCCTGACCACCATTATTAATCCATTCACTAGGTGTGGTTCTACAATCTAATCACCTCTTCAAGGCCCCACATTTCAATTACCATAATAGGATTTCCCACTCTCAACAATTACAGTAGGGATTAAGTTTTTTTGGGGTGGGGGGACATTCAACCCAAGGCGTTCCACCCCTGGCCCCCCAAAACTCACGTCCTTTTCACATACAAATACATTCATTCCATCCCTAAAGTCTTAACTAGTTTCAACTTAGAAGTCCAAAGTTCAAAGTCCAATCTGTGTAATCAAAAAAAAAGTTATCTACTTCCAAGATACAATGGTGGGACAAACATAGGGTACATATTCCCATTCCAAAGGGGAGAAATAGGCCAAAAGAAAGGTGTAACAGGTCCCAAACAAGTCCAAAACCCAGCAGGACAGAAATTAAATCTCAGGGCTGGCCCATGGCTCACTCGGGAGAGTGCGGTGCTGATAACACCAAGGCCCCGGGTTCGGATCCCATATAGGGATGGCCAGTTCGCTCACTGGGTGAGCGTGGTGCTGACAACACCAAGTCAAGGGTTAAGATCCCCTTACCGGTCATCTTTTAAAAAAAAAAAAAAAAAAAGAAAAAGAAAAAGAAATTAAATCTCAAAGCTGGCTAATCATATACACTGACTCCATGTTTGACGTCTATGCTGGTGCAGGGGTTGGGTCTCCAAGTCCTTAGGCAGCTCTGGCTCTTATGGCTTTCCTGGTCTTTTTTTTTTTTTTTCTTAAAGATGACTGGTAAGGGGTTCTTAACCCTTGACTTGGTGTTGTCAGCACCACGCTCTCCCACGTAAGCGAAACGGCCATCCCTATATAGGGATCCGAACCCATGGCCTTGGTATTATCAGCACCACACTCTCCCAAATCAGCCAAGGGCCAGCCCATGGCTTTCCAGATCTGAGGACATGTTTCAGTTCTCATAGGCTGGCACTGCACACTGGTAGCTCCACAGGTTGGGTCTTCATGGCAGTCCTGCTGTCATGGCTCCACTAGGAATGGCACTGTTGGGTTTTTTCTGCTGTAATGCTGACCCCACATTTCCTCTTGGCATTGCTCTAGCAAAGTCTCTATGTGGTGAATTGCCCCTGTGACAGATCTCTTCCTGGGCTCCCAAGCTTTTCCATATATCCTTTGAAACTGAGGTGAAGGCTCCGAAGCCTTCAGAGTTCTGGCACTCTGCTAGCCTGCAGATCTAACACCACGTGGATGCCGCCAAGCCTTCCAGCCAGTATCTTTCAAAGCTGAAGGTCCAGCCATGCCTGGGGCCAATTTAACCAAGGCTGGAGCAGCAGGGGTGCAAGAATCAGCATTCCAAGGGGGCCCTGGGTAGGGAGCCCATGGAGGACAACTCAGGCCTGGTCTCCAAGACCATATCGTCTCACTGGGTCTTTGGGTCTGAAATGGAAGGGTTGGCCCCAGAGGCTTCTGCAATGCCTTCAGGGCCTTTTCCCCCTTCTCTTGATAATCCCTTTCTTTTCTATTAATCTTAGCACCATTGCATTTTTCTTCTGAAAATGCTCTCTGCTTCTCTACCACATGGCCAGGCTGCAAATTTTCCAAATCTTTATGCTCTGCTTCCCTTTTAAATTCTGGCTTTATGTCTTGCCTTTGCCACCATAACTTAGCATAGGCCGTTACAAGTAGCCATGCAGTTTCCTTAATGCTTTGCTGCTTAGAAATTTCTTCCACCAAATACTCTGGTTCACAGCTCCTAAGTTCCAACTTCCACAAAGTCCTAGGGCATGGACACAATGCAGCCAAGTTCCTTGCCAGTTCATAGCAAGGGTATCTTTGCCCCAGTTTCCAATAAGTCTCTTTTCATTTACATCTGAGATCTTCTGAGAATGGTCTTTACTGTCCACATTTCTATCAGCATTCTGCTCGCCACCATTTAATCAGTCTCTAAAAAGCTCCAAACTTTCCCTGGTTTTCTAGTCTTCTAAACTCCCACCAGCAGCAAGGCTTTTTCTAGCCTGATCCTTCAAGTTCTTCCAGCCTTTTCTCAACACCCAGTTCCAAAGCCACTTCCACATTTTCAAATATTTGTTATAAGCAACACCCAACTTCTCTGGTACCAATTTCCTGTATTAGTATGTTTCTGTTGCTTATAACAAGATACCTGAAACTGGGTGATTTATAAGAAAACAAAATTTACTGCTTACAGTCTCTGAAGTTGGAAGTCCAAAGCCCAGGGAACATATCTGGTGAGAGCCTTGGTGGTGGCAACAGTAATGGTAGAGTATCACATTGCAAAATGGTGGAGCAGAGAGAGCAGAGAGACTAACCTTCTCATTCACTCTTTTTAAAGCCCTACAAACCATGCCCCGACTGACCACCATTATGAATCCATTCACTAGGTGTGGTCCTAGAATCTAATCACCTCTTCAAGGCCCCACATTTCAATAATCATAATAGGATTTCCTACCCACAGTGGTTATAGTGGGGATTAAGTTTGGGGGGGGGGTGGACATTCAACCCAAGGGCACACAGTTTCTATCATTAACATGTTACATTAGTGTGGTATGTTTGTTACAATTATGAACCAATATTGACATATTATTATTAAATCAATTTTATATTAGGGTTCCCTCTTTGTGTTGTATAGTTCTGTGGGTTTTGCCAAATGCATAATGTCATCTATTCACCATCACAGTATCACATAGAATAGTTTCACTGCCCTAAAAATCCTCTGTGATCCATCTATTCATCCCTCCCTCCCTCATCCCCCGAAACCCTGGTAGCCACTGATTTTTTTTTTTCATTACCTCAAACACTTATTGTTTCTTTGTGTGGGGAACATTCAAAATCCTCTCCTCTAGCTAACTGAAACTATACAATAGTTAATTATAGTCTCTGTACAGTTCTATAGAACACTAGGTATTATCCCTATGAGAAAACTGTTCAGTAGATCAGTTAGGTTTCTAGCCCTCTTCTTATAACAAGCCTTAGTCTTTGGCAAGGCACAGATGTACGGTGGTTCGTTTGTTTATAAAGGCAACTTCTTGGTGAGATGTGAGCAGCAATAGATCCTATACCCTTTGGCTTCTGCCTCCAACCAGTACTTCTCCTCCCAGAGATGTCCCTGCTTGCCTTCTTGAGCATCTATTTAGCTACAAGAAGTGTGGGAGAAAGGGGGATTGTAATAGCCTCTTAACTGGTATCTGTTTTCACTCTTGCCTTCCCTCTGTTTTCCACACAGCAGCCAATTTTCTTTTTTAAAAGCATAAATCAGATCTTGTCATCCTCTTGATTCAAGCTCCAATATCTTTCCAGTTGACTTTTGTATGTTTAGATACACAAATACTTACTATTGCCTACATTATTCATTACAGTAACATGCCGCACAGGTTTGTAGCAGAGAAGCAATAGGCTATACCATGTAGGTTTGTGTTAAATACAATCTATGATGGTCACACAACAATGAAATCGCCTGACACATTTAGAACACATCCCTGTCATTCTAAGATGGCGACGGGTCTGGAGCGGCCGTGCCAGGAGACAGCGCGATCCTGAGAA